GAGACTTTTCCCTTCGTGGAGGTCGGCCTGGAAAAAGAAAAAGCGCCCGACTATCAGTAGAGGGAGCTGCAGGCCAGCCGGCGCGTCCCTTCTCTCTCCTTCCTCTGGGTCTGTGGAAGGAAGGAAGGAAGGAAGGGAGGGAGGAAACGGTCTGTCGTTGTGTTTCTGTCGTTCCACAGTAACGGATTCTTTCCTGCGAGGAGCGGGTGCTCCGTTCTGCCGTTTTTTTTGTTTGTTTGTTTCATTCCGAGGGTGAACAGTGGGTGTCTTTGCAGGACTCTCTTTTGTATTGGGAAGGTGAGCTGAGGTTGGTATTCCGGGGCTTCCCGTTATGTGGCGTCAAGAGCTCGGTGTAGGAGTCGAGAGAAAGTAACAGAAAGAAGGGACTGAAGGAGACGCCCCCCCCCCCCTTGGACCACCCGCCGCCGCTAGAAAGAGAGACACGTCAAGGTCTTTGGGTTTTAGCATCTTCTTGCATCGTTGCCATAAAACCGGCGGTACAAAAGCTCTCTTAATGATGTTAAACGGCGCTTCCCAGCAGTTATTCGTTTGCATAATTGGAAAGCTGCAGTTTAACAACATCTGGAGGGCTGGACATTGCCTTTTCCTGTCAGAAGGACTGCATCCCAGGTAGTGGGAACGGGAAAGAGAGGCCCTTCTTCCTTTAAACGTTCAGGAAAATTAACACCAAGAGTCCTTTTCACACAAACAGTGAACCAGTAGCTTGGGTTCATAACACCTTTTCCTTGCAACCTCCGTTTCCCCAAGTCTTCTTAGGTACAATTCAAAAGATCAAATAAATGTATTAGGTTGAGGAGTAAGGACAGGAGACATGGCACTCCTGCCTTTTAACTGCAGTGGTTGTCTTAAACAGGCTGAGATAGCAACCATTATTTTGGAAGAACTACCCATCCTTTAATAACTGACATCTGGCAGGTGAAGCTTTTTCTGTCTCTGGATAAGTCTCATCAGCACAGCTTTTGTGAGACACAAGGCTGAGAGCAAGCCAGCATTGTGACATGATGTACTGCTAAGCAGTGTAACCTAAGAACCACGAGACGCCCCTTTCTGCTTGAGTTCAAATCTTACTTCAGCCATGGAGTCAGGGTGTCCTCTTTAATCTTCCTCTAAATGTACACAACATTGTTAGGATCCCTGAGAAAATTTAATCAAGCACTTTGGATATTCTGGGAAGTGTAAGAACAGTTTGAAGAGTTCTGCCTCAATTTTCCTAGATCACTATGTTTACAGTAAAAAAAAAGGATGTGAAACAGTAGTGGGAAGATGCTTCTGCCTCAATTTTCCTAGATCACTATGTTCACAGTAAAAAAAAAAAAGGATGTGAAACAGTGGTGGGAAGATGCTTATAGGTCAGTTTCCCCAGTTTACTGTGTGTTGCTATCCGTTTTATACTATGATGTTCCTTTGTGAGATGTAATCCTTTTCTGCTTGGCACATTATCCTTGTGTTTTAGTAAGTCTTACCACTGACCTCTGGTGTAGCCAGTTATTGTTCAGCTTGTAAAGTAAGCAGTGTAGAACCTCTGGCAAGTCTGGAGGAATACTCTTTGTGTGGGAAAGTCCTTGAAATTAGCTCCCCCTCATGCAAAGTATAAAATCTGGGTGGGAAGCTTCTGGGGGTGCTGGCTATATGAGAATAACTGGCATTATTTTTTGTTAAAGGCTTTTAGTGATACTAAGCTCACTACGTTGCAATTGACTGGTTCTGCATAAATGCTAAGTAGCAGTATACAACAGAGAAACATGCACCAGAGGAGATGTTGTAGAGTTAAGAAGCCAAAGGCCTGACCTTTAGTCTCATGAGGATTCCTTGTTTACCTGTGTAATCCCACTGCTATTTTTGCTGTAATAACTGTTGCTGGTTTACATCTAGAGACGCCAGTTTGAGTTTGAAAAGTGAAGTTCAAAGCCGACAGCAGATATTCTGACAATCTCCTTGTAAATACAGATAATAAAAAATTATAATCTAGGCTTTCATTTGACTAAATCAAAACGTGCTGTTTTTCTTTTCCCCAGATCACATGATGCTAATTTCTACCAATATTAGCTGCCAGTTTGATGCTCCAAAATGTACCACCACCATGTGTTGTTAAAGCTACTACAAAGGCCTCCTAGGAATGTGCAAGCCCTGAGGTAATGAAGTGAGTTCTACTTTAATAATGCATTACATTGATTTTTTTTCAGTATATTAGTATCTTGTATGGCTTTTATCTTGCTTTTTTTCAATTTCACATTTCAAAATCTCCATTTTGTTTTAAATTCTGAGAAGAGCTAGGAAGAAACTAGGACCAGTAATTTGGGGCTTAGTGGAAAAATGCAGAGGAGCTAAGGTTGTAACCCTGTGTGCACATACTTGGGAGAAAGCCCCATGGAACTCTGCAGGGTTTACAGTACTTCTGAACAGGCTTGTATACAATCCCACTATGATGGAATAAATCTAAATATGAAGAGATGTTTTTTAAAAAAACCTGTTGAAATCTATATAAAATACAGTATAGTCATAATATTTAGTTACAATGTTATGTCTTCAGTTCAAAAAAATGGGATAGCTGTGTGTTGTGTAGATTGGGATTTTTTGTAGCTCACTGGATAATCAGCAGTAGTTTGTCAAGCGTTTCTTCAGTTCAAAAAAAGTTGAACTGAAAAAAATGACTCCGTTTATTAACATAACAAGAGAATCGCAGTGCTGTCTTCAATGGGATAGCTGTGTGTTGTGTAGATTGGAATTTTTTTGTAGCTCACTGGATAATCAGTAGTTTGTCAAGCGTTTCTTCAGTCCAAAAAAATGTTGAACTGAAAAAAAAACGACTCCGTTTATTAACATAGCAAGAGAATCGCAGTGCTGTCCTCTGAAGGACACAGAGACTGGTGAAACGTTAGGAAGAACAACCTTCAGAACATGGCCAAAGAGCCCGAAAAACCCACACAACTATTAGAATCGCATTTATTTCTTATTTCAAAATTGGTATTTCAGAATTCCTAATCTTGAGATTTTTAGATGTGAATTTGTATAACAGATGATTATCCAAGCATAATGGCACATGGGATGAAACAGATTATTGGCATCAATTTTTGTCCTATTATTCTTCACCTGGTGATCTTTTGTTTTAGTAACAATAGTTACCACAAGACTAAAATCTGTTTATTTCTGCAAGAGGGGATAAACGGCATCTAATAAATATCCAGATATGCTGTATTTTGTTTTAACTTTTTTGTGCTCATAGATAAAAGTTCATAAGGTAAAGACAGTTTCAAAACTTGGGAAGACACACAATGGCAGAGGATGTCGTTGTGGCTTCCAGTGTTCGTGCTTCTTATTTCTCCTAAAATATTTCATCACATCTTCCTCTGTAATCTTTAATTCTTAATTTGAACGTAGTAATTTGGCATATGTAGCATTATGTTGCATGGACTACGATCATTTATGGTGCAAATGCCATAGGCTTTCTGTCTGAAATCAGGTGGAATCTTGGGGAAATATAGCAGTGGGGGGCATTTTCCTCTACTTTCACTTTCTTTGTATCGAAGATAAAGCAGGTTCATATTTTGTGTAAATGTGTATGTTACGATCACGAGTTTTTAAGGATTCAGAGAAGGCACTAAATGGAGATTAGGTTATTGGGCTATGTAATTCTTAGCCAGTGCAATGAAAATCTTAGAGACCCTTGTTTCACCCTTCATCTCCCACTTCTGCGAATATTGCTGTGTGCATGGTTCCTCAACAAGCAGTGTCCTTCTCCCACAGCACAGGTAATAACTTATTTTTTTCCTCATAAGATTTAATAATGAAGTGAATTTTGAAAAGTACTGGTCATGTAAGACATTGCTATTATCTTCCATATTTCATTAAGTGAATTCTTGAACTCTAGAGATTTAGACTCAAACCTAAGTTTAATTTGCATCGAAATAAGTCACTTAGGATGCATATTCAGAGCATTTAATGTAGATCACTAGACTTTAAAAACATTTAGGCCTTCCTGATTTACAGTCAGGCTGGCAGAAGATTGGAATGCTAAAGCAGGGTATTCAATCCACAATACTGTCTGTATGTACAGAACCAACGGCTGGCAACTATTTCTTATCAGTTAAAAAGGAACATAAAGATAGATCTTCAGGGCATCAGTTTATTTCACGTTGCAGTGCACCTTTGTTCACGCCACAAATATGCTAACTTGTTTTTCATAACTTCACATAAGGCTAATAGTTTATATCATATTATATCCTCCTCATCTTAGAACTGCAGAGCTGGAAAGAACCTTATGGATCACTGAGTCTGGCCTCTGTCACAGAGGCAGAGTGGGAAATTGAACTCTCAGCATCTGTCTGGCTTCCCAGCCAATACAGAAACCACTGAGCTTTTCTATTGGCTGAAATACAGTATAAGAGGCAACTAGAGTAGGCCTATTGAATCAGTGGGGACTTGGTGAGCCACCAACTATGTAATTTTAATTTATTCAGTAGGCCTACTCTAATTGAAACGTACTACATTTCAGCCATTATGTTATATTATAAGGAAAAACAATCAGAACTATGAAAATATGTGCAAATGGAGCTAAATGAGTAAAAAGGAACTAAAACATTCCAAAGGTTGGTGTAAAATATCTTGGAACAAATATAGAATCACTGGAATCCTGTTATGTATTTAGACCACCATAACTCAGTCAGCATATACCACCAAGTTAAGAAGTCAGCATATACCATAATGTCTTTGTAGCCTTATTTTGTTGGCATGTTCACAGTCTTGCAGCCCTTTCATTGGATGTCAGTGAGAGGGGACTTTACAGCCTGTGGTTGTCCTTTACCACTAACTTGACTGCTGACCTTGACTTCACCAGCAGCCCTTGCTGATCAAGGGGTGAGCATCGCTGCCCCATGTCTCACTGCCCAGCTGGTTCAGTTTGATCCTGTAGTAAAGGATGAAGCCTCCAGGGTGATAGCTGTAGGTCCACCACTTCCTTGCTTGATCCTTGCCCAGCATGACTGATCAGAAACATGAAGGGGTCTATGATTGATTGGGTTGTGAAGATTTTTGTTCATTCCTTCCCCCAATTAGTGTCAGACAATCTTAACAATTTCTGTCCGATCGCTAGTATACCATTCCTGGGCAAGGTGATTGAAAGAGTGGTGGCAAATCAGCTGCAGTCATACCTGGAGGAGCAGAACTGCCTTGGCTCCATTCTAATCTGAATTCAGGCCACAACAGGGTACTGTGATGACACTGGTTGTGCTGCAGAATGACCTTTTAAGTGCCAGATGCACCCTTTTGTCACTCCTAGATCTCTCAGTGGCTTTTGATACTGTCGACCATGGTATATTCCTGGACAGGTTCTCTGAGGTTGGGATTGGGGGCTTAGCATTGAATGGCTCTGGACCGTTTCCAGAGATTTCAGCTAGGGGAGGAGTTGTCAGCATCTTGGACCCTACAGTATAGGGTTCTTCAGGGATCGGCAGTATCCCTGATGCTGTTTAACATCTATGTTAAGCCGTTGGAGGAGGTCATCAGGAGATTTGAAGTACTGTAAGGTGTCATCAGTATGCTATATATCTCTCTGTTACCACCTCTGCAGTGGATATAGTGTATTAAGTGTAGTGTAGTGTAGTGTATTAAGTGTGTAATCTGTGTGTTCTTCTAGACCTGGCTCTTTCTTGGGAGTCCTAGATTGCAGCTGTGTCCAGATCAGCTTTTAACCAGCTTAGGCTAATATCTTAACTTTGCCCCTACCTAGACGAGGACTCCTTCAAGACATTGGTGCAGGTCCTGGTCATCTCCCAGATCAAGTACTGCAATGCTGTCTGTGTGAGGCTCCCGTTGTGCCTAATTCAGGTGCAGAATGCAGCAGCGAGACTGGTGGTGGTTGCAAGTAAATTTGACCACATCACTCTGGTTCTGTCTTGCCTCCACAACTGGTTCGCCATTGTGTCCCAGATCAGGTTCAAGGTTATGAGACTCACTTACAAAGATCTCCATGGTTTGGGCTGATGTTACTTGTTGGAGCGGTCTTTCCTAATGTCATCCGCCTGACCCACAAGATCATCTCAGTCGAGGTTCCTCAGGATGGCCACTCCAAGGGAGGCCCATAAATCCTCTACAAGAGGTAGGGCCTTCTTCATGGTGGCTCCAACTTTATGGAACCAGCTTCTGGAGGAGCTGTGTCCAGGCCCCTCCCTGTTGACATTTAGGAAGCAATTAAAGACATTGCTTTTCAGGGAGGCTTTCCACACCAACTTTAGCTGACCACCTTTCCCCACCTTCTCCCCCATCTTTTCCTCTATCCGCTTTGGTTTTATATGGTTAGTCGGTGCCATCTCTTTTTAGGGTTATTGTTTTTGCTTTTAATGTTTTAATCTTTATTTTGTTTTCCATTATACGTGTTGTAACCACCCAGAGCAGTGCCCAGACACTAATGGGAGTGGGATACAAATTTTAAAGAAAGAAAGAAAGTTCTTTTTTCCGCCTGTGACATTTGAGGCAAACCACCACCCCTCTTTCCAGTTTATTTGCTTGCTTCCATTGTTTTGTTCCATTGTCTTCCTCCAACCTTTCTCCTAGTAAGAAGCATGGAGGGTAGAGTGTTTTATGTGGTGGGGACTCCATTTTTCCTCTTCCCCCCCTTCTGACTGTAACTGCAGATGGTAACTATAAGTAAATAGATCTTTTTCTACCTTACATGTTTCTAGAGTGATTTTATCATGCAGAGTGCTAATTTGTGTGCAGAAAAACCCAGAGGTAGTGGTGGTTATGACACTGACCTAATATCTACAGATTTCTGTGTTGCTATTTTTCTACCTCATTCTGTGCTAACTAAAAAGGAATAACCGAAGCTCCCCAATAATTTTTCAGTCATATTTCCTTATGTGAATGTGTGGTTCCTTTAAAAAACAACAAGGAGTTTTGTGGAAACTTAAAGACTATCTAAATTAATTTGATAGAATGTTTTTTTGGATGGTAACCTTCCTCTTCAGATGCATCTGAAGAAGTGAGCTGCAGTACACAAAAGCTAGTGCTAGATAAATTTGTTGATCCAAGTTGGTATAACGTGTCTTGATGTTTTTGCTGCAACAGACTAATGCAGCTCCCATGATTGCTTTGTTAAAGGTAAAGTAATGTTTATATCAATTTTGTTGTAGTGGACATTTTAGCAGATTTACTGTTCTCTGTTGATTGACTAGAGTTGAAAGGTTACTATTAGTAACTGAATATCCATTTCCACTACAGAAAACTGGCCAGTTTCAATCAGCAAAAGAATACTCAACTGCTGTGGGATAATGTCTATATTTTAAATTTTCTTTCTTGCTTTGAGTTTTCCCTTTCATATGTGTCCAAATAGAATAATTAGCTGGATTTGTCTTTTAAATTGATGTATTCATGCTGAGTGTATTTTATTTTCTTTGAATTTGGCAGGCCCTTCTGTGAGCCTGGAAAGAAATTGTTGTACCAAGACATCCATCTGGATGTGGGAGCTTTGAAGGGGGAGAGAGAATATTCAGAATTGGTAAATGGATTTGCATGGGATTCAAAACTGAGCCAACATCGGAAATAATATCCCCGAACTTGAATAGATGGCTCTTCAGCAGCATCCACATGCTTTTAATATCTCCCCAGTAGAGGATAGGAGATTGTGTCTAAATGGAACACCCTGGATTTGGCATCTCCTTGAAGAATGTGTCGGGAATGCGTGGGAGTATTGGAGCGTTGTCATAGGCCTGATCTCCATTGTCTGTTTTCTGTTTGCTGCACTACCGTGAGTTTAAAATCTTTAAGTACTTTTCAGATTCATACATGAGTAATCTTGCCTCAAGCTCTTCTCAGAAGCTGCCTTTTTTGGTTTATTCTTTGATGCATTTCTGTCCCTATCTGCATAGAATAAATAGGATATGCCAGAGCAGCATGTTTCTCCTGTTCAAAGCAACATTTGATGGTTGACAAATTAGCTTGCTGTACTCTAATGTTGTGGTGACTTGACACTAATCTATGCTATTTGGAGCGCATAAGAACATATCACTCCTTCGTCTTTGATCTTTCCATCACTAAACACATGAGTGTATGAGCACATCATTCACACACTTAGCTGGGGAGAGCAATCCATGGAACAGGCTGCAGTCTTCCCTTTTGGTTGGCGGATTCAAATTAGAAACCACTGTACCTTGATTGCTTTACTTTTTGCCACATGAGGATATAGGGAGTAGCATTGGGAGTGTATAGCAACTGCATGCCTGAAGTGTGCAGGTTCTGCAGACAAACCATTGTTATGTTCCAGTTCATTATATTATTATTGCACCAGGTGAAACCGTTTCCATCTGGTTGGACTTAAATAGATCATTACAGAACTTTGAGTCATCTGAATCCAGCTTTTGCTGTGATGTCTCCAACTATCTTTATTCAGACAGGGAAACTGGCTACACTGCTAGTATAATGGTGTAACCTGAAAGGTCACATAGAAAAATAAATAGCCATAATTGCTGTGTTTAGAGCATAAATCTATGTGATGTTGTGTATTTAATTTTACTTTAATCCTTTGAGCACATGAACAAGTGTGATCTAAAATACAAGCCTGGATTTGAAAGTCTTAAAATTCTGTTTTTTGCTTAAACAAATGACATTTCTTCATCTTCCTGTCTTCCTCTCTTGTACAAAAGGAATATTAATGAGTGCCTCCACAGATTTACTGTGAGGAAGAATAAGCGAATGTCCATAAAGCAGTTTTCCTTTGTGTTAAGTATTGCCAAGTTTTACAGTTGGAAGCAGAAGATGGAGACACTCAGTTCTCCCTGCAAAAACAAGATTAGGAGAAGACTGTTATACAGACCATGAATTGTTAATATCAAAAATTACAATAAAGCTGAAGAAGATCTATAAAACAATCATAATACCAACATATAATTTAATTGACCTTCCAGAAGAATTTAAATGCCACAAGAACCACAGATTTGCATTACTAAGTGCATTTGACAGCAAACCAGAAGAATTAGGGACAAATACTAGAAATATATAAAGGGACGTGGTGGCGCTGCGGGGTAAACCGCAGAAGCCTGTGCTGCAGGGTCAGAAGACCAGCAGTCATAAGATCGAATCCACGCGACAGAGTGAGCACCCGTCGCTTGTCCCAGCTCCCGCCAACCTAGTGGTTCAAAAGCATGCAAATGCAAGTAGATAAATAGGGACCACCTCGGTGGAAAGGTAACAGCGTTCCGTGTCTAAGTCGCACTAGCCATGTGACCACAGAAGATTGTCTTCGGACAGAACACTGGCTCTATGGCTTGGAAACACGACTGGACAAAAATTATCAAGGGGAACCTTTACCTTTACCTTTACTAGAAATATAATCAGTAAAGAATACCAAAAGATTATTCCTATAGCCAAAAGAAAAGAAGAGCCTCACCACAGTATCTGATGAAACTCTGAGAATTGTTATGATGAGAGGTTAAATAAAAGGTGACCAGAATAGGTTCAGGATTCTAAGTGCAACACATAGTAACTTGGAATTTAGGGTAAACAGGGATCATTTTGTCTCCATTTAAAATCAATGTTGAAAACTCACTCTTTTTTTGGATCACCCTGCAAATTAGTATATGTGCATTCATTTCAGGTGTGTTCCTGACCATGCAAGTCAGAAACAAAGCTTCATGGAAAAATGAATGAAATGAAAGGGGGGGATATTTGGGGGAAATCTGTAACTTACTGAACTGTATGGAAATGTGTGCAAAATAAAACTTATGGTATAAAACCCTTGTGCTTCAATGCTATTGTTCACAAGGGGTGTTGCCAATAACTAGGTCACTTTTTGCATAGTAGTGTATTTTTACAGGACACTTTTTGATAATGAGATCCATGAACAATTGTGTAATCCAATTTCTTGGAAAAAAAAGTGTCAAATAAAAATCCTGTTCATAGCCTAAGACCAAGCATAACTTTCCATCTGTTCGTCTCTGGTAACAAAGTACCACTGTTGTGATTCTAGGGGATGGGGAAAGTGTGCATGCATACTGGCTTGTTTCATGCATGTGCATACTACCCTCAAGAATCACAGTAGCTGTGCTTCATTTACCAGGGAGAAATGGATGTAAAGTTATACTTGGGCTTAAGCTACAAACAGAATTTCTGCATTATGAAATCCTAGCCATTGCTTAAATTTGAATTGAGTATGTGTGGGTTTGTTCTCAGTGCTACTCAGCACCTTGTCTGTTTAACTATAATTACATGCAGCAAGTTATACGAAACCTATGTGAACACTGGTAGGTTTCTGATCACAGCTCTATAATGCAACATAATAAAGTGTTATTATAATAAAATAAGAGGCATTTGGAAAATATGTGGAAAATATTTATTGTGAGCTTCTTTTTGAGAAGTTCATATTTTCAGCACACTGTCATTATATGTATGTAGATTTTATCTGAGGTAATTGCAATATGGATGTTATAACTACAGGGCAGATTTTCTTTTAGTTGTTTCATTCTCTCCTCCTAGTCAACTATATGTGGCATATCAGAATGGAAGAGTAGACCAAGCACTATCATTGGGGTTTCTGTTGTGTTGAATTGCTGGAGACCTCACCAATTTTATTGGATGCTATTTGACAAATCAACTTCCAATACAAGTAAGTGGTCAGAGTTTCAAATTTGGCTTGATAGAAACCTGATACCTAGTATTGTATAGTAGACAGAATGATGGACTAAGAGTCAAGAGATCTGGGTTCACATCCCCACTTGACCAAGGAAGATTTCTAATCTTGATACGCATTGCTTATAAGGAATGTTGCCTTTGTGAGCTGAAAACAACACAAAGACGGCATTAACAAAAGTATAGTCTCAAAATCCTGTGAAGTACTCTGTTGATCACTTGTTAGGCCTCAGCTTGAGTACTGTGTCCAGTTCTGGACACTGCACTTTAAGAAGTATGCTGATAAACAGGAACAAGTTCAGAGGAGGGAAACAAGGATGATCAGGAAATTGGAGATCAAGCCGCCTAGAGTGGTCACAATTGACTAGATAGGCGGGGTATAAATGAAATAAATAAATAAATAAATAAATTCTGAGGAAAGACTGAAAGGACTGGGTGTGTTTAGCCTTTAGAGAAGAAGACCAGAGGGCAATACGATATCACTCTTCAGATACTTGAGATATTGTCATTCAGAAGATGGGCAGGATCTATTCTTTAGCATTCCAGGATTCAGGACACACAATAGTGAGTTCAAATTACAGAAAACCAGATTTTAGTTGAATGTCAGGAAAACAACTTGTAACTGCTAGAGCAGTACAGCAATGGAAACGTGGGAGGTGATGAGCAATCCAGTGATGGAGGCATTGAAGAAAAAAAATAAACAACAAAGTTGGGGATTGGATTCAGTGGCCTTATAGGCCTCTTCCAACTCTAGTGTTCTGTGACTCTGTAATTGGTTGTCAAATACACACCAGTATTCAAGCTTGTTAAGGTCATCTACAGGGATACTGTTTGGGCTTTCCCTTGGTAAAAGACAAATAAATAATGATGTGTTAGAGCAGGAGCTCAAGGCTTGTAAATGTACAGCCACTTAGAAACTACAAATTATGCATTATTCTTGTCATTTTCAGATAATCACTGCCATTTTTTACATTAATATGGACATAATTATGATATCCCAGTTTGCTTACTATAAGCTAAGGAATCAGAAGATGACAAAATGTAAGTATTGAATAGAGGCATTCATGGTAGTGTGGATTTTTCTGGTCCTTTTATTTTTTTTTAATGTTATATACTTGAACATGTTTTAAATAGCACATTTGATGTCTATTATGATAGCTTAAGCCTTAAATGTTCTCGAAGTGTCAGTCTACATCTAGTGTTCTATGTATTTTTAGAAGAAGATACACTGATGATTGTTGAGAGTAACAAGTGGAATTAAGGAATTATTATTACTTTTAAAGGCTAAAAATCAAACAAGTAATAAACATGTATCTGAAGTATAATATCACTCCATATCAGTCTTCTCAGCTTTTAAGATCTTCCAGGGAGGCCCTTCTCTCAACTCCACTACTGTCTCAGTCTCATTTGGTAATGATACGAGATAGGACCTTCTCAGTGGCTGCTCCTCAGCTTTGGAATGTGCTGCCCTGCGAAGCTAAGTTGGCTCCCTCCCCCTTGCCTATCTGTTGTCAGATAAAGCCCTTCCTTTTCAGGCAGGCTTTTAAAAAATAAATGGGGGATTTTTAGGAATACTGTATTTATTGAATGCAATGATTTTAAAAATTCTAAAATGTTTTAAAATAGTTTTTAATGGTGATTTTAATATTTATAGATGTTTGGAGTTTTTTTGGCATTGTTTTTATGGTGTTTTTAACTGTCACTCTTGTATAGTTTTAATTGTTTGTGAGTGGGGTGGATTTGTTTTAAATCACAATTTAAATAAACATTGGATTTTTTGATGATTTCAATATTAAAAAGCAATTTAAATCAGTTTGATTTTTAAAAATCATTGATTTTTATCCACCCTGTTTGTGAGCCGTCTTGGGTTCCTTATTAGGAGAAAGTCAGTATATAAATAACATAAATAAATAAATAGATAAATAAAGTAAACAAGCAAATTGCTGAATGTGCTGCAGCAAAGTGTTCATTTAAATTGTAGTGGTATACCAAATCACTTGATTTAAGACCTGTTGAATGCAGTGGGCCTGAGGAGACAGGTAAATGATTCTAGTGTCAGCCACTCAGCTAGGCCCCCTCACTTGACTTTATTGTGAAGACATATTTAGATGCTCCTAGAGCAAAGAAGCAGAATAGGTCATTTGCATGGTTTTACAGACAACAGCTCATGCATAGAGAAAGAGATACAATTTTCTTCTGCCAGCAGAAATATGGGATCCAGTGCAAAGGGTCTCAACTTTTAATAAGATTTTAAAGTGGAAAAAAGTCATTTGAAAGCGAAGAGATTTTTTAAAAAACTTTGGATGACTGGAACAGCTATTAAAATCACTTTGTATCTTGGTAAAGAACTACATGTGTATATCTTTACATTTGTGTTTACATTGAAACACAAAAGGTTAGGTTTTTTTAAATGCAACAGTGAAAGATCTAGCTTGCTATAATTTTTTATTTGTCTTTCAAGGTGGTGTATACTTTAGGAACTCTTGTATAACATGGGTTTTAGTTTGCATAATGCTGTGCCTGATTTTACCCAGTCGACTACTGCTACGAAATCAAGTCCAGAACTCTCTTTCAAGAACAAGTGAGGTATCACTTAGTTTTATATCAGAAAATTTGCTGTACATAAATTTTAACCTTCAACCTTAATCCATGAGAGTTGTGATAAAAAAATCTGATGTGAAGTCATATTGTCATTTTTTATGATTCTTTATCAATTTTAGATGTTTTAACATTTTTGAACATTTTTTTAAAAAAGGATTTCATAATTTACTGCTTTAATTTATAGTAATGAATAGTGACTAATGTACACACTGCATTCACTGTTATAAATGTCTGCAGATGGTGAAACTGTCTATTCTGTTTTTTCTCCTCTCTTTTTAATCTTCAGAAGTCTCACAGTGTGGTTGAGCTATCAGGCTTTGTTTGTGGCTATATATCTTGTTTGTTTTACTTGACATCTAGAATTCCTCAGCTGTATAAAAATGTAAGTTTATTATTTATTTTTAGTATAGGAAGTTTCCTCTACAACTTCCATGACTATAGTGCTTGATCAATAAATATCTAATACTTAATAAGTTGTTCCACAAAGATCAACACATAGTGGGATCTTCTTGAGCCTGATGAATGAGTGGTAATTATTTCTGCAGAGGAGAACAATTATCTGTTATATTCAGAACATCCAAACTTAAGAGTAGATTTGGAATGGTCACACTGTACATGCCAGATCTCCTTGAGAGCTAATGTTAAAATCTTTTGTGCATGAGTACGGTAGCCATACTTAGGTGGTCTGATGCGTATTACTGAATTCCCTTGCATACCATCCTAATCTGAAGGTATTATGAATCTCCAAAAAATAAAAACATACACACCTTCCCCAGACTATTTTAATGCTTAAATAACTGTGTTTAAAGCAACCTCTGATGTCTCTTCTTTCAGGAACCTCCAAAGGAAGACCTAACAGTATCAGAAATTTTACCCAGTCGACTACTGCTACGAAACCAAGTCCAGAACTCTCTTTCAAGAACAAGTGAGGTATCACTTAGTTTTATATCAGAAAATTTGCTGTACATAAATTTTAACCTTCAACCTTAATCCATGAGAGTTGTGATAAAAAAATCTGATGTGAAGTCATATTGTCATTTTTTATGATTCTTTATCAATTTTAGATGTTTTAACATTTTTGAACATTTTTTTAAAAAAGGATTTCATAATTTACTGCTTTAATTTATAGTAATGAATAGTGACTAATGTACACACTGCATTCACTGTTATAAATGTCTGCAGATGTTGAAACTGCCTATTCTGTTTTTTCTCCTCTCTTTTTAATCTTCAGAAGTCTCACAGTGTGGTTGAGCTATCAGGCTTTGTTTGTGGCTATATATCTTGTTTGTTTTACTTGACATCTAGAATTCCTCAGCTGTATAAAAATGTAAGTTTATTATTTATTTTTAGTATAGGAAGTTTCCTCTACAACTTCCATGACTATAGTGCTTGATCAATAAATATCTAATACTTAATAAGTTGTCCCACAAAGATCAACACATAGTGGGATCTTCTTGAGCCTGATGAATGAGTGGTAATTATTTCTGCAGAGGAGAACAATTATCTGTTATATTCAGAACATCCAAACTTAAGAGTAGATTTGGAATGGTCACACTGTACATGCCAGATCTCCTTGAGAGCTAATGTTAAAATCTTTTGTGCATGAGTACGGTAGCCATACTTAGGTGGTCTGATGCGTATTACTGAATTCCCTTGCATACCATCCTAATCTGAAGGTATTATGAATCTCCAAAAAATAAAAACATACACACCTTCCCCAGACTATTTTAATGCTTAAATAACTGTGTTTAAAGCAACCTCTGATGTCTCTTCTTTCTGAGAAGTAGAAGTGAAACCAAAATTGTAAGTAAAATAACATTCTGGCAAGTTTTCTTTAATTTTGAATTGGAAAAGAAAAAAATTAAAATAAAAGTTGTCAAAAATGTGTTTAGAATGATTTTTTTAAAAGGGCAGCTTTCATTTATATCCTGCTTGCAAAAGGGTAAATTAATTCACCATTGAAGAAGATAACTGGACTAGACACATATCTTTTATAGTTCATTTCTGATTAAATGGATTGTACCAAGTAACTGAATTGCATTAATATATATTTGAGATGAATCATAGAAATTCTCTTGAGAATGGAGATACATATCTCTTGATGGACCTTTGAGGCTGTTCTAGAAAAATTCCTACGAATGAGTCTCCCACAGCAAAATATTGCAGTATGGTACATTTCTGTCCAGTTGTGCCTGATCCCAGTTGCATTAAATCTTTATTAGATTTTCTGTTGATTTCTGTAAAGATCATTCTATTCAATTCCTTGAGACATTTAAAACAATGGTTCTTAACCTTGGGTTACTCAGGAGTTTTGGACTGCAACTCCCAGAAGCCTTCACCACCAACTGTGCTGGCTGGGGTATCTGGGAGTTGCAGTTCAAAAACATCCGAGTAACAAAGGTTAAGAACCACTGATTTAAAATAAAATAATTTAATGGATAATTACCTGTTTAGAGAATGAAATCATTCTTTCCCTTGTTATATGCCATCTGTTCTGAAGCTTGTGCTTTTTGGATGGGTCCTCCAGAAATGCTGTAGGATGGTGAAGACAAGGATGGGAGTTGTGCACTCTGTGGGCTTTCCCATCACTGGAAAAATAATTGGTTAAAGAAACTGGAGAATTGAAATTCCTCTATTAAACATTTTAATGCCCTATTGTAGCATTTTCAGAAAGCCAGAAGTAACGTCTCAGCCATTTCTAGTTTCCTCAACAAGTTTGGGTACAGCCCACAGGGGTCAGCACTGTTTGGAAAATGGGATGGTTGCAGTTCCCAAAATCCTGAGCAGCTGCCCACCATGAAATATGGAGAAGTGAGCTTGATGGATCAACAGTATGACTCCATGCCAAGTAATTTGTTATGTTTTTAGCCTCTTATTAAATGATAGAACATAAAGTGTTCTTGTGATGGCTGCATTATTGACCATAAGATTCAGAATCTGTAAGTTCTGGTTTTCTTGGTAAAAATCCTTTTTCTCTCTCTAACTTTGCTAACACTGTTTTTTAACTTTTAGTTCCAAAGAAAATCTACTGAAGGTACATCTTATCTACTGTTTGCCTTAGCCATGATGGGAAACTGTACTTATGGTCTAAGCCTTGTCTTAAAGATGCCTGAAACACAGCATCTTGCAAGTCTTTACTTCTGGCATCATCTCCCTTGGCTCATTGGGAGCTTTGGAGTTTTGTTTCTAGATATTTTCGTATCCTTTTCAAATGACAATTGGTAGTTTTACAGACATTACTAAATAGGGTTTTACAGACTAATTATGACTGATTTTATCTGAAAAGTGTTTCAGGACTTGCAATAAATTAACAGCAATTCACAGTCTTGTTGAATGAATAAATGAATGAATGAATGAATGAATGAATGCATTTATTATCAACATCAAGTGTCTGCTTGTTTGGCAAGATTTTAACATGTTTTACTTGTTCTGTTGTAGAATAAAATGAGTATGTGTGACCTGTATTAATGTATCAGATAAAAAGTGTTATCTTATTATGGTATCTCATTTTGCTTGAAGCTGCAGCTTTGAAGTATTATGTCAGGAGAAAAAGAACTATTAAGGGTACAGTCCTAGGCACACACGTCCCTGGAAGATACGCCCCATAGAATCCTGTTAGCTATGCTCACTGATGTAACTCCTTTAGTGTAAATCTTCTCAGCTGCAAATTGCTGCAAGTTAAATAAATGGTTTGCCTAGGCATTTGCAATCAGTCACATGATTTGATGAACAACAGGAAATGCCTACACTGATTCTTAGAGCAATTCAGAGCTGAAACTTATATCAAAGTTACAGTGATATAATTTCTCAATTGGATTCCGGCCAGTATGAATTACGTTTGACTAACACGCCTGGGCTCATTGTTATCTTATATACATTTGTATGGACAAAGTCCCAGTGAAATCTGTAAGGTCTGCTTCTGAAACTGGACATTTCAGATATAATAGATATATTATAATATAATCTCAGCACACTTTGCAGTTGATAGGCAAAGCTTTAGTAAGGAAATTATTGCAGTCTTAAATCATAAGCTTACAGAAATTTACTTCCTGGAAATGTATTAAATTGCTCCTACTTCTTATATAGTACAGTAGATTTTGTCTGCCCCCATTCTCTTTAATTGTGGTTCAGCCACAGGTTTTCCTGTCTGGTTGAGTTTTGTTGTTTTGTTGGTCTAACATAGCAGTAACATTTATCTCTCCCATTTTGCTGTTGCCAGATAGTAAACAAGACTAAGTTTCCTGAACATTAAATGCGTATAGTTCTCAGTAAGCTGTAGAAAATGCTTGACACTGCAGTTGTAGAAACTAGTTGTATTCATATTACTTGCACAAGTATTATATATCACTGTCTCTTGCTACTTTAGAAAGGAATTGTTTTAGCTAACCCCCAAGGTTCCTCAAAGCAGCAATTTTAATTATATTCGCTGTTAAACTCATGTTTCAGTCTAATGCAATCTAGTCTGGACTCTGATCTTGCTTGTCAATGCTCTACAAATGTAGCATGACTTCTAGAGAGGTGTAACAATGGATTCTTTCAACCCAAAAGAAGAGCATCTCTGACTGCTGCCCTTTTAGTCAATGCCTGTGGTTTTAATATGCACATCTAACAGCCCAATCCATAACTCAGGTTAATCCTCATTATTATTCTTCAGTGGGCCACATTTTATTAATTCAAGTAGCCTGGCTTAACTGAGCTTCGTATGGAGTTTTACATGTTGTTTTACAGCTAACTCATATTGAATAGTCTGAGTTTTTATTTCTGATAGAGTTAAAATTTAGATTGGCACAGTACTATAGCAGATGAGACAATATCATGCTGGTTGGTGTCATCCTTGCAATGAAACACTGGCTTTAAATTCTGTTAGGATGATAGCGTCAGAGGGTGTAGATGTCCTTCAGTATTTTTTAGAAAGAGTTGTGTTGCACATTCATTGGCATAGCTGTGCGAATAAATATATACAGCAATATATTACAAGAACCAAGGCCAGACATGACAGCACGAGGGGAAATGAGATGTGCTGAGATTTTTGCAAAAATCTTAGTTGAATGTAAAATAAACCGAGTTATTGGCTTAACATAGTCTGTTGCTAAATGTAATTCCTTATTATCTATGTTCTCTGCCACTATGATAATCTGTCAATTTGCCCATTGGCAGCTTTCTAGAATGCAGGGTTTTTAATCCATTGTTGGAACAAAAAAGTTTTATTTCTACAAGGGCAAAAGTGTCCTGCCCTGTTTGGCTTTAGCTGGAAACATTAATAGAGGCTCTCCCCCCCCCCCCCCAAAAAACACACCAAAAACACACTTTTCTCTCACT